AAAATATTTCCTGTATAAGACAGTATAAATTATTTCTTTAATGCATGTTATCTTCATATAAGATGTATTGCACATTCCATAAACTTTTAGAGAATATTAGTTAAAAAAAAAATTTGACACATTATATGACCCTATATAAAAAGTTGTTTAAAAATATTGCAAACAACAGTTTTAATATGGTCATATCACCTGCCAGGAATATTTATTATGAATCTATAAATACAGCAAACTTCCTTTTTTGGATAAGAAAGTGACATTTCTTCATAAATTGACAGATGCTGTGTAGTGGTTTTGGTAGTTTTCACTCCAGATCACGACACTAAGCCACACTGAATTCACCAGAGCACAGTTCAACCACCGCATTGTTCCTTGGGCAGGCTGTCAAGCAGTTTACCAGTATTAGTTTTGCTTTCACTTTTGCAAGGAAACTGAATCTTCCGTACATATCAGAGCAGACGGTACAGTGCGCATGATCGGTTAGAAAGGATTTCATGATCAATCACAACGAAAGTGACCTGCCGCCATCCGGGGGTCTCGAACCCGGGTCGCCCGATAGAATGTGCCTACATCCCACCTATTGAGCTAACCGGATGGTTTTTAAAAGCCGCTGTGTATATACAATATACAAACTATTATAAACATCATAATTATTCCAATGAAAAGCGTCAGTACAAACATGCAGTTTGTTAATACTAGTAGTAAATATATTAATCAATACAAAGTCTTACCTTCAGAGTCCTTCAGTTTTAATTGGGAAGAATTTTCTTGCATTTGCAAAGCACAGAAAAGTTACCAATAACGCAAGCTGAATGAATGAAGTATGCATATTCTAACTCGGCCCCTGCTGTAATACGATCTCCTGTTCTCTGTAATATGTAACACAGACATAAAAATTGAAGTCATTAACAATCTTAGATTATGTGATATGTAAAAATATTGGATATTAATTAGTTATAATACATAGGTCCTTGAAAAACAGATTCATACACTTCAAAATCTGTAAGTAAATTTAATAAAAGTTTTGACAAACAGTGAAAGTTTATAAAATATCAAGCACTAATCATCTATCACAACTGCCTATGTTTTAAATTGTATTAGTCTCAAATCCAATGCAAATAACTAATAAAGAAAAATTTTAATGGAAATGACAATAAATTCACAGAAAAGTAACTAACCCCCTACCTCTGACCAACCCCAAATCTTACTTTAATCAATCTACCAAGGGAAATACGAAATAACGAGTAATACACGTCAACACCAGAGCAAGTTTACAATATTTTATTTGGGTCTACTAGATTCGGTCATCTTTATGTCTATTCAAGCTCACTTGGGGAAAAAGCTACATGTTGATATTATTATATTTAAACTCGAAGTCCTTTTTAACTAGCAGTGATGTGATATGAGATAACATGTTAATTACCCAATCAAAACTCAAACTAACCATTTTTAGGGTTGCACAGTAAATAGCAAATCTTTAAACTCTACCCCTTTTTTCTGGGAACCCAGGACAGTATTTTCTTAATATTAAGTGTATTAAAAAAATGTTTTTATGGGATGAGATAACCCGGTTTCCCCCATGGTGTATGATAATTTTAAAAAAAACCAATTACAAAGGATTTCGAGACACATCGAGATTTCACTCTTTTAAGCAAATGGCCCCACTTTTCTTGCTGCGGAAAATTCTAAACAATTTTTGACAGCATTCTCTACCTGAAAATATATATGAATGGAATTTAATTTGGCTTAGAAACTCTCTCCCAGATTCTAAAATAAATATTACACAACCTCATACCAAACAATGGATATCAAATTACATATACAAGTATTTAGGACAAATAGATCGAAAACCAATACAATTTTAAATATCAATACATGTTTCGCTTTAAAAGCTTCATCAGTATAAATAAGAAGTATTGTCAGAATAATCTTAACTAGAATGATATCACTGCACATTACTTTCCTTTGCATAAAGTATAGATTTTGCATTTAAAATTACAGATTGGAGGGAACCAATACTGAAAATTTGTGTTACCATATTTGAATATATCCGAATATTGGATTCTTATATAAGCTACAAACTAACAGTCTATACCCAAATACTGGTAATAAATTTTAAATGGAAGGTGCTATTTATTGCTACATTGATAAAGCAATTTTACACCTTAATAAGGGAAACTGAAAAAGTAGTGTTCATTAAATAACAAAATCAATAAAATGTGAAATATGTCTACTTACAAAAGGTCTGTATTTTTTCTAACAAGTCTAACAAGAAGCTTCTGCTGAAAATTCCCATGCTGAAAAACAACAATCATACTTCATTAGTTCATATAACAAGAAACCAAATGGATCTCCTAAACAATTCACTCACTAACAACTGAAAAGAAGGAAACAATTCCTTTATAAACAATGAACAATGGAATTTTTGTACAATATATTTGAGCAGTTACATAAATCTTGTATTATGCCTATTTTGTTCATTTACTCTTCTTTAATAAAAATAATAGTCTTAATAAATGAGTTTACTTCAAGGTTTTATTTCAAAATGCTATATGCTTGCACATTACAAAACTAGTTGACATTCCTGGAATATGGAATCTCTTTCATAATCCTTTATAACAACAGATAATTTACAAATTACATTACCCATGAAAAGGAGTGCCCCAAATGTTACATAAATATGGCATTTTTTCATGAATATAGAAACATACAAAAGGAAGAATGTATCACAATGTATACAAATGAAGAAATTAGATAAACCCCACATATGACATTTTTTTTTTTATGTAAACACACAAAGAATGTATAATAATAAAGAGGTAAGTTAAACAATCATGTACATGTATATAACTTACAATCCACTTGATAAACCACTGAGCCTTTGTATCAATTAGTGCGACGAAATGTACGGGAGACAGACCCTGGGACGTCCCGACTGTACCCACATGGTGTATTGACAGCAGATTGAGGGTACTGACTAACACTTCTTCTAAATACCTAAACAAATAATAACAAACACAGATTCAATGATGAATTTCTTAACTATAGAAGACATGCTGAAAATCTCAACTCACTGAAAGACAAACTAACAGTTTCCAAAAAATGATATCCTCTACCAAATAGAACACTATGAACACTCCAAAAAAAAATGTTCCACAGAAAAATTCCACTTTGATGGAAGTAATTTCCCACAGTAAATATCTATCTTAAAGTGAACTGGTCAATATTTCTTTTATTTCAAAAAGTATCTTTTTTTATTTCTGGTGTTCTGTTACAGCTAACAAAATGTCATTTGTTAACTATATAACTTAACCATATTTTGCTTCTTTTGCATTTTTTGGCAGTAAGTACAGTTATATTGATTCGGTATTTTGTATGGAGGTCAAAATATAACATTTTGTTTAAATTTCATGGCAAATTGTTTCATATTTGTGCCCCTTTCAGGCTATAAGCATCTAACATGCCCTAATAAAACATTTTTAAAACATTACTTTAAAACCTTACTAAACTCCTAAGAAGAAAAAATATTCATTTAGGAGGAGTATTGTGTCTTTAAAATACATATATAGATCAAAATTACATACTGTTCCGGATATCTTATCCAGTAATTAATTGTTTCTTGTTGAAATTCATTCATTAGGCGGAACTGAAAAATAAAATATAACGTTTGAAATATCAACAAGTCTTCCACTTCAACTATTTAAACAAAATAATTTTTTTTGGCCTTTTTGTGCTGAATTATAAAGTCACGGTTGTCACCCTAGTAAATGCAACAAATATATTTCTTCATGAATTAAGATGATGATTCTTAGTAGAAAAATTAGTAAGTTAGTAAGAAAATACATGTCTTTATTTACAGGCTACACATTTGGTGTCCCAATCTTCTATGTGGGCCTCAAAGACATAATTTACAAAATATACACAATTAACATCATGGCTATACAGTGAAATTTTTAAAATACATACGGTCTTGAAAACACAAAAATAATATATTACTTTATGAAAACACTATATATATTCAATACACAATATAATTTCAAAACATAATATATGTACATAATATAATATAATATATAATTAACTTACAGCTGTCAGAATTCTCCGTATTTCAGGTCTGGCAATATCCAACCCATTCTTTATCTTTGGCATATTACTCTTACGGTTGTGAAAATGACAAATCAAATGCTCAGCTGAAATAAAATAATTCTGGTTAATGACACAAAGAAAATATCATGCAATTTCCAAATAATGTTTGTGTGTGAATGATTATTCACGGTAACAAATAACAAAGATTATCTCATTCAAAGACATTCAGTAATTTTAGAAATAACACCTCAGACAAACAATATTGAACAATATTAAGTTTACAGTTCTTACAAAAAAATTCTTTTAAAAACATAATGTATCTCTTGACTACATAACATATATATATTTCATATGTAACAACTTAAGTTTTGCCAGAGTTTATAATTTATGTCTTAATTGATGCTGTGTAGAAGAAAGGTGTTGTTTGTTGGTAGATTAAACACAAGTATGATTCCTCTTTCTGTATAGAGTGAAACTGCATCTCATGTCAGACATGTTGTTTAAGGTAAGTGCAAATTATTTTGTAACTTAAAATCCTATAGCATCTATACAGAAACTTGATATAACACATTACAGTAAACACTCTGAAAACCGGACCCTCTGAAAACCGGAATCCTCTGAAAACCGGACCATTTTAAAAGTCCCGTATTTTCTCCTTATATGTTCATTGAAAAAAAATCCTCTGAATACCGGAACCTCTGAATTCCGAAAACCGGACGATTTTCTATGGTTTCTAATGCTAAACATGCATAAAAAATCCTCTGAAAACCGGCCAGCAATTTTAAGTGTCAACTTTCTGTGTATTTTAATGTAGATCAAAAAATAATCTCAACTGGTGACATGTTCAATTACCAATTAGGGATCACCTCCATTTATCTATGCAGGTGTGAAAACACTTGTCAGCGTGTGTTTATTTCTTATTGGCAATTAAATTAAAGCTCTTTCATCATAATTGTGTATTTCCCTGTATAGGCATGATTTTTCAAAATGTTTTAAATTTTATTTTTAAATATAAAATGTCTAGAATAATTGGGAAACTTTTGTAAAATGAGTTTTGGATTGCTTAAAATTTTGACCTTGAAGTTATCTCTGGTTTGATATTAATTTTATGCAAAAATAGTAATACTAAATTCCATTAATTACATATTTCAAAAGCCAATTAAAAAGATATATTTCAGACAATGTGTTGTTATAATTTCTGATTTTCAGAATTATATTCATGGATTTGCATAATAAAACTACTTAAGATATTTATTGCAAAAAGAAATTAAAATATGACTTAGACAAAAGGGTTGAAAAGCAAATACAAATGATTGAACAAAGTCATTGTTCAAACACATCATATTAATCAATAAATGTATAAAACCTCTGAAAACCGGAATCCTCTGAAAACCGGACTTTTGGTCAAGTCCGGACAGGGTCCGGTTTTCAGAGTTTTTATTGTAATAGGTACTACTGCATGAACTTAAGTGGAATCAAACTCATAGTTAATAAACTTTTAATACATATCACAGATCAAAACTGTTCACTTTTTAAGGGGGGGGGGGGGGGGGGAAGATGTGTAAGCAGCCGGTAGAGCCTTGTAAGGGTGTTCCAAAGGTCCAGGGTTTTCAAGTCAAATCAGGCTGTCACCCTGTGACATTTGGCGCCCAACTAGGACCTCGACTGCATATAGCTCAAGAGTTCAATTCACAGTGCTCTGTTATCCTGAGAAATTTGAGGACAAATTTCAATACAGCAGGGGAGTATGTCATAGTTCAGAACTGTTCACTATTTAGGGGACAATGTGTAAGCGGCTTGATAGCACAATGGGTAGACCCGTAGAACAGTATTCACAGTATTCACAGGGTTCTGGGTACGAGTCCTGGTCAGGCTGCACATTTTTCTCACTATATGACACACACACTGCCTTATAATGCACAATGTCTAGTATCATTATCTAGTACACTGACAGGATATAACCATGACTAAACTTAAAAGCTTACCCTGTTTATATCAATTTTGTAATGGTTTTGTCCTGCATTAAATCTAGAACAGTTCCTTCTGAAAAGTAAGGGATTTCAATATCGACATTTAAAAACCAAGCTCTGTTTTTGGGTCAGAGACCAGAATTAGAATTATGACTATTTTTGCCCATGGAGCACAACTTTGAAGTTATAAATATGTACTTACTAAGAAGTGTATAAATGTCTTTGGTATGTGGAGATGGTGTGCTAAAAGCTCTCGTCACAAATTTCAGAGATAATGTCTGCAAAAGAAGAAATGAAAATAAGATCTAATGTTTTACCATCTTAGCTGAATATCTTGTCTTATACAATTTAGATGTACATGTATAAACTCTTTAAATATTCTTATATTTCAGACAAAAACTAGCACAAACTCAATGTTATCTTCTGGATAACTTACCCGTATAAAAATAACTTTCCCTCTTAAAATTTAAACTTATAACCATGATAGGCTAGTAGTTTAAGGTCAATACCCTTTACAGACTTAGCTACAAGGGCTATAATTTTCTTGTTCATAAAGAAAAAGAGAAAACATACCACAATTTGATCATCAGAATCTAGAAGAGCATCTAGGATATGTTTCTTGATGACTTGGAAATGATCACAGCTAATTACATCATCAATTCTTACAGTGTTCATGTTCTGTAGAGCTTCACGTCTTGTCTACAAGAATAGATTGAAAAATATCATATCTAAATAGTCGCATTTGAAAAAAAACATTGAAGACTTGTATCTCAAAGTCCCTTTAATTCATGGTCTTAGGTAATGCTGAAGATTTAACACTATCTTCGTTACAGTCTAATAGGACATCAAAAAAGAATATTTCTTTAATAAAGATTATAAAGTGTACATATAAATCTACACTATTTTTGTATGTAACATATTTACAAGTCATCATTTATGTTTTATCTTTTAAACTGTAAAAACCTTGAAATTTGTATGAAAAGATGCTGTAACCACAATTTACAATAACAAAGTAAAATAAAACCATCAGAAGAATGAGATCTTACCGCAACATCCTTTGTTTTACTCATCTTTTCAGAAACTTGTTGAAGATATTCTGAATTCATAAATAAACTGCCCTGTAAAAAAAAAACCATATCTTTAATCAAATATTACACTTATAATTCAAAAAGACAAAATTTAAAAACAAACAGACTCAATACTTAAAAAAAAGATTTTTTACAGCAATCCATGAAGTTCATGTACAGAAAAATTCTTTCTTTTCTGAAGGCTGACAATTTTTTTCAACTTTTTCAAGATTTCCAAATATTTAAGCATATTAATATACTAAATGCTGTGTGTTTGTTTGTTGCATTTAACGCCTTTTCCCAACAGTATTTCAGTCATATAGGTGGGTAGTTTCCTAACCATCGTTCCTGGAGAGTTACACCAGTTCTAGACTACCTTCCTCCGTGCTAAACTACCAATGCATCTCCCGGGGATCGAACCCACGCCAGAGAGGTAACTGGATTAGAAGTCATCGACTCTAACCCCTCGACCACGGAGGCGGTTATACTAAATGCAATAAAACTGGTAAAATATATATATATATAAGGTCCCTAATTACAACCAGATTATCAAAGTTTTCATAGAGTTAAAAGGAATTCCATTGGTAAATTTTCATTTTTCATAGAGTTTTAAGGAATTCAATTGGTTAATTTTTAATCATGTGACATATATCAACCAATCAGTGGTTGTATTTTTAAATTGATCATATATTCAAATTACATACATGATTATAAGAGCTGTCTAATGAAGACTCAGTTTCTTCGGAGTCATGAAACGGTCTCATTCTATCATCCTTATTTGGGTATCGCCCAGCACTGTGACTTCCTACACCAAACTCGGCATCAAAATTCTTCACCAGTTCATTCATAGCTTCAACCACGTTAGACTTTAATTTCTTTGTTAAATCTGCACACCTGTGATACATAAATATCATGATATTTATAGATTACATCAATAATTAGACAATTAATATTTTGATTTTGTTTGAAATTACAGCTTCAAACCATAGGGAGAGTTATGTTTTGTCGAGCTTTTGTTTCAGTGTTAAAATACTATCAAATATCAAATTACTTGTTAGAGCTTGCAAAGATATGGTTCAGACTAACCCTTCCAACAACACCAATCACTCTATTCTACCCAAAGAAAATCAATTTATGAAAAAAAAAGGGAAATAAAGTAATCGGTAAAAATCTTTCCAAAAAAAAGTATATCATATATTATAACTTGTTAATAACACTCATCAAGAACCTTATTGTGTTATGGTATAGAGTGATAATCCGAGAGATATGAAAATATCAAAATACTCTTAATATTTAGAAAATTAGATGTTATCTTTGCAGTTCATTCCAAATGCATACTTATTTCTATTTAAAAAGTGTTCATAGACATTTGGTTGTAAGTTGTAATCTAGCTTTAAACAGACTGTGATTCTAGTCCAAAATGTGAAATTGTTTTGGAATTTTAGCAAACAACCCTACTTCCATAAACAATTCTATATGTACTAAAACATCACAGTCATGTTCAATTAACCAATTTATTTAATCTAAGATCATATGTTCCTCTAAAAGTAAATAGAAACAAAAGATTATACAAACACATTGATATGACTTACGGTTTTGACTTAATAATTCTTTCAGCAATTTTGTTGACAAGAGTTTCCTGGCCATCCACTCGTCCTCCATGTTTCTCAATTTCATCTTCGATCTGTGGTCCCAAAATCTCATCTATCTTCTTCTTTAACTGCTTCACAAACTCATATCTAAAAATAGAACAAGGACGTGATTAAAATACACAATGAACCTGATTCTGCTAGAATCAAAGATTGTGGAAGATTTATTTTATATATGTTTTATTTACACATATCACTTAAAATGCACTGACTGATAGATAAGAATGGATATTCTGACAAATAATTATAATAATAAATCAAATATGTATTCTCCATTGAGAAATAATTATATTATTTTCATGTGGAGTTATTCTAGAATTTATGAGTTACTATTTTTCTATGTTGAGAAAGACAAGCCTTTTGTTTCCTTAGGCTAATTGGACATTAATATTAAAGAAGAGGTTTTTCATTTCAACATGCTATAATAGCTAGCCCTTCTATCAAATGCAATTATTTTCAACATGTTATGAATGATTATCTTTTTAGATATTAACCTTTTTTCCTAAAAATATAGTCCCCTTAACGTCTGAAATTTACATTTACATAAGTCTTGATTAAAGAAAATCAATTAATGATGATAACTGTAAGTCAAATCAGGTTAAGTCAATTTTATCTGTTGTCGGAAATATATATATATATATAACAGTTTAACATAAGCTACGAATAGCTTTTGATCAACATAATAACAAAAAATAAAAAATACAATGTAATTCTACAATGTTACCTGTGAAAATTTTCATCATTTTCTTCAAGATGATGTAAAGTTTCTTCAACATGTTCAGTAGATCCTGCTTCCCTGATATGAGGCTCAAAACTGATGACTAGCTGCCTCAGGTTCTGAACTAATTCCTCACTCTCTAGTCCTTTCAGCGCCATGCCTGTTGTTGAACAATAAAAAAAAACCATGTCATTACTATATAATACAAATGACAAAAAAAAACAACAACAAAACTACACTGAAAATTACTAAATATGATTCCATGCCTTTTTTCCTCTATTTTTGGAAAATGCCACATGGCAAATTTGGGAAATTTGTGTCGTAAAATATTCCAATTTGGGAAAAAAAGTTATCGTGAAATTTGCCAATTTTGGAAAATATGCTAGCATTCAAGGTGTTACAATTGTTAAAATTAATCTAAATCAATCTTACTTTTACTGTTCAGCTTTTTTCTGTCATATCAAAAATACAAGGACAGTCTAAAATGTGTACAAATTTATAACTGATATCAATTAAAAATCCTGTTTTTATTCACAAAACATGAATTATTATAAATAAAATAACAAGTAAGACATTTTTATTTTGATTAATTTTCTTTTTAATCGTTTATATAACATTTTAAAGCTTAGGGTGTCGAATCATGCCATGATGGGCAGACAAGGATAATTTGGATGGGGAATGGGGCCCATATTCGGACCCTTGGGAAAGGGGAAAAAAGGCCTGTTTCCTAATAAACATTAAAAAAATGGGAGTGAAACGTCCATTCAATTACAAATTGGGAGTGAAACGTCTAGGTGTGAACCGTCTTTGGGGTGAAACGTCTCAATAGTGAAATGTCTTGGACTTGGTAGTGAAATGTCTGGCATTTCTTGGAATGCACTCGGTTTGAACATTATTTTGACAAATTCATACATGTGACATCCCGGCGGGATTTAAAAAAATCCCGATATTTCAACACTGATCCCGATTCCCGATATTACAGCTTGAATTCCCGATATTTAAAAAAAAATTCAACATAAAAAAAATCAAACACAGCACCTGTATCTAAAATGTAAACCGTGCCTCCGGGCATTGATTGTTTATGTTATCTGTCCATATCCTAAACTATAGCGGATTAAATGTTGAGTCACTAATTGACAGCAAGGTGACGTAATAAACAGATCCTAAACCCAAAGTTATTCTCACATGTTTAACTTATCACGTGTCGTGTGTCTATCAATTGACCTCTTTTGTATTTTGGCAGTAGGTATTACACGCTACGTCATCAAAATTACCCTGTAAATTTACATGTATGAATTCGGCTCAACCTTTGATTTTCTTTGATTAGTGCCGCACTGATAAAGATAAAAGGTGAGCAGAATCATTTAAAGTGGATCATTCAAAAACCTGTTTGCGATGCGGCAAAACCATGTCTAATTAACCTACTTTTAGTGAGTGGCTATTTTTTTTGTTTTTTTTAGGAATTACACAATCATCGAGGCAAAAATGTTGATTTAATTAACGGAACGATTCTTGCATTTATTTTTTGAGTCTTCTACGTATGTTACGTTATTTTACTGTCAGAGTCATGAATGTTCATGAATAGTTGTTGTACGTTTTCAAATAGCTTGTGTTTTAAATTATTAGCCAATTATTGAATGACTGAAAATACAGATATAATTCTTCAAACAAAAAATAATGAAATGTGAAAATGTGACTGTTTTGAAATAGCCTGTATGGCTAAGTGACTTATTAATTTATCTATTTATTTATTTTTTGGTGAAAATAAATTAATATTGAATGATCCACAAAAAAATCATAAAAGTATAATGATATTTGAGGGTAATATAGATTCTTTGAAACAAATGTGCCAAACACGCATTGAAATTCGAGTCGATAAAAAATCCAGTTTTGAGCCTCAAAATCCAGCTGAAAATCCAGATTTGGCCCATTACATTTGTCACATGTATGCAAATTAGAAATATAAAATTAGAAATATTGCTGGTAGGACATCAAATAAAAATGCAAATATTTGGGTCCTACTAAACACTGCTAAGGACTGCTAAGGACCGCTAAGGACTGCTAAGGAGCCACAAAGGACTACTAAAGAGGCACAAAGGACCTTAAAATACCTCCTAGGCCATTCTTATATTAACATGGTATTATTTTAAGTGAAAAAAAAATTATAATTTTTAAGAAAAAATATGATTTTGGTGAAAATTTTATGAGTTGTCGGACCGCTAAGGACTGCTCAGATACACAAAAGACTGCTAGGGAGGCACAAAGGACCTTAAAATACCTCCTAGGGG